TTATATATATATATATATATATATATATATATATAATATGTAGTGCAGTGATCATGGATCTGTGGCTTGATGGCCATTCGGGGCTCTTTTGGCTCTTAACTGTGCCTCTCAATGGTGGCTGTGTTACCAAGAACATTTCTAGTCAATTGTAAATTGGAAATGTTTTTCCTTCCATAGCACATTCCTGTCAGGAGGCAAAGGAGGAGATTTCAGTAAAAGTTCTGCAAAATCTGCATTATACATCAAAAATAATTCAGATGGAAAATTCCTGACCAGTTCTAATATGTTTGCAGAGTTTTTTAATTTTCTCAAGTCTCTAAATCACACTTCAATTTTGCAATTCTCAGGGGCCATTTGATGATTTACGATTTAAACTATGAAATTGAACCTGTTAAATCTTCCTCTACATTTCAACATGTTATTTATCGAATGGCAGCTGATGAAGATTCACCTGATCGATGTGGAGTAACTGATGAAGATATCAAAGATCAAGCCGCTAAAGGCAGAGAACATCAAATATCTATGGTTCAGATGGAGAGACAACTTGAAGTAAATGTAAGTGTTTTTTATGGGCTCACATAAAGTAAATTCATATTATGTAGAACGGGGTAATCAATAGGCAGACTGCGGGCCAAATCTGGACTACCATATGCTTTTGAATGGACCCCACAATCTTATTTTTTTTTTACTCATTATTATTGGGTTTTTTAAATTATTTTCTCTGGAGTCTGGACCTTGATTATACCTTGACCAAGAAATTTGTGCCTTAACAAAAGATAATTCACCACCTGTGAAGTAGAACATACTAAGCTATGCATGTTAGGCCCATTTTTCAAACTCATTGTTGGAAGTGACCTCAGTTGTGCTGGAAATTCACTTTGTAGTCAGGGGAACAAATTAATTCTGTTACCCCTGAGTTTACCATCCATAAGTCTGGTAGCTAAAAGCATTCCTATCTATTGATTATGAAAGAAGTAGTTTGTCACCATCATGGAATCTATTCAACGTGTGCCTAAATGCCCCAGTTGGTAGTTCCAGCTGTATTTCCCTTTGCTGATTTCTTTCTAGAAATGTTTTCAATTCTGCTTTGACTTGATTTTTTTCAGGGTCAGATAAATTCAAGTATTCCACTTCATCTGGCAGAAGGTCATTCCTCCCCCCACCCCCTCCCCCCATCTGTTTCACTTAGGGAAGGCCTGACACTCTGGGAAAGAGTAGTGGGGTAGTCGAGCTGTCACACCTTTCTCCTCCTCCTTGCATCTTGACCCATAGGTCTAAATGAAGGGGAGTGCACTAGGAGCAGGTAGGTGAGATTAGGCCTCGGTTCTCCAGTGCCTGTCTGCCCTAGCTGTGGAGATAACCCACGATGCACAGAAGCTACATTACATCTCAGGAGTATCCCTCCTACATGAAAGACTAAAGACATAACCCAGAGAACTGCCACCAGGTGATGCTGCTGGGACTGGACCCAAGCCCACCACCTCCGATACATGGTGGAGAATATGGGCAACATCTGAGTCCTGTGAAAAGTGTAATTCCCCCTCCTGTTCACTGGCCCACTATGAGGTTGTAGAGGTTGTTCAAGATAGGGGAAGCCTGCCTTGTGACTTTTTACGCTACTTTGGGAAACTGAGCCTGGGGCTCCTCTATGTGCTCTGCGTTGTCTGTCAGTGTGTGTTCACCGCAGACTAGACCCACTCAGACAAATTACCAGGAACAAGGTTTATTCTGTAAAGAACAAAGAACAGGATTACAGTCCAGCAGCCTCCTCTCTGCTTGCCTGCTTCATGCTCCCAGTTCAGTCAGTGATGAGACCTCCTGCTGAGAGAGCAGAGGGTACATTGTACAACACAGCCCCACTTACAAACATGTTCTAACTCTCACAATATCTAAACCCCTAAAACAAATAAGCCCATGTTCTCCTTTTGTCTCATTTAAACTCTTCTCAGGGTGCTCTTTAAGCCCTTTTTGGTCCTACGTGTAAAGAACATAGAACAGGATTACAGCAGCATTCTCTCTGCTTGCCGGCTATGTGATCCCAGCTCAGTCAGTGCTGAGACCTCCTGCTGTGGGGGAGAGGGTACATCCTGGCAGGAACCAGGAATTTCTCCCAACATGCTGCAGTTTCAAGTCCACAACTTGTAGTTCCCAGGACTGCTGTTGAAGCACACTGGACCTTGGGCAACAAAAGGACCACTGGACCACTGATTGAATGATCCTAAAGAGGTCACAGATACAGAAAAGCTGATTAAATGAATTTTGGAGAACCCGCAAGAGCAAGGGCAGATACTGCAACAGATTGCTGCCCAGCAACAACCGCTAATTTGCGAGCTGGCGGCCCAGAACCAGGCACAACGAGAACACCTGATCCAGCAGGTGGCAATGCTATTACAGCTCCAGGGGGCATCCAACATCACAGTTCCTGGGTCTGTAGTAGATGCTCTCCTCCCAGAGATGCCCATCTGGCTTATGAAAATGGGCCCTGGAGATGACCCCAAACTTTCCTGGTCACCTTTGAATGGATGGCCACCATACCATTGACCACCCAAATAGCCCCATACTTGACCAGCCCTGTGCAAGAAGCATATAGGAGCTTGGACCCCGCTGAAGCATTAGACTACACCAAGGTTAAAAGCAACCTGTGGTGTTGTGCAGTCTATATGTTTTTATAAAAGTTTAATATGTGAATATAATGTAACTGAAATATGCTTCATGCAAAAGATCTCTTGTAAGGTATCATTACAAAGCTTATAATCTACTGAGTGTGATCATCCTATTTGTAGGACCACTCTTGTACCTGAAACTAAAAATATAAAATATAACTCTGAGGGCCTATTGTGATTATGTGAAGTGTGGGCCATTAATGATGGTTTGGAATATTGATGACTCTCATTAACTAGGACCATTGTCTGCAAATGGCTGTGCTTTACCTGCAAGTCTTCCTGTATATGTGTGTGCTGGCAAGTGGGTAATGAAGTCTTGCAGTGACACATGATCATGTCACCTGAACTGGAATCCATCTTTAACCTGGTGCTTTTCCAGTGGGGGGGGGGGAGGGGGAGTGGAAACCCAGAGGGACAAAGGGTTCCCATCTTATGCAAAATCCCCTAGCTACCACCTGAGCTGGAACAAGAGCTGTACCAGGGGAAAGAATTGTGCCCAGGCCTGGAAGGTGTCCAGTCTGAGGAAAAAACTTACTGAAGCATCTCTGAGGGTGAGATTATCTGTATTCAGTTTAATCAGACATAAATGTGCGCATTTTATTTTGCTTGGTGACTTACTTTGTTCTGTCTGTTACTACTTGGAACCACTTAAATCCTACTTTCTGTATTTAATACAATCACTTTTTACTTATTAATTAACTCAGAGTATGTATTAATACCTGGGGGAGCAAACAACTGTGCATCTCTCTCTATTAGTGTTATAGAGGGCGAACAATTTATGAGTTTACCCTGCATACGCTTTATACAGGGGTAAAACGGATTTATTTGGGTGTAGGCCCCATTTGGAGTTGGGCATCTGAGTGCAAAAGACAAGCACACTTCTGTAAGCTCCTTTCAGGTAAACCTGCCGCTTTGGGGCAAGTAATTCAGACCCTGGGTCTGTGTTGGAGCAGACGGGAGTGTCTGGCTCAGCAAGACAGGGTGCTGGAGTCCTGAGCTGGCAGGGAAAACAGGGATAGAAGTAGTCTTGGCATATCAGGGGGCAGCTCCCAGGGGGGGGTTCTGTGATCCAACCCGTCACACAGCCATACTAGATTGTTTAGATACCAATCCCAAGTTGTTTCTCAAAGAGAGATACCTGGCCCCCTGTGGTGGTCAAAAGGACCAGTGTTGGCACTGGTTATACCCAGAAAAACAGACCGGAGTGAAGGTGGTGGAAATTATTATGTTAGGATAGTTCATCCATATTCTCCCAGTCGTGATGAAGGAATGGGTGAAGTGCTATCCGCTATCGACCCTCGCAGAGGCCATGACCCTAATGGAGAACTACAAGTGTGCTGAGAGACCAGCCTTACTGACAGTGAGGGGAGTGCCCCTGGAAGGAAGATTCTGATCCCTAGCAGGGGCCTGTTCAAAGGGAAGGTTGAGAACAGCTAAATTGGTCATCATCCTAGGAGATGGCCCTGACTGCAGGGAGAGACCTAACTGCAGAGGTGGAATGGAGAGGAGGCTTGTGCTCCTAAAGAGGGGGATATGCCCTATCTGGAAGACCCACAGCACCAGAGGTGGGCCAGTCAATAGCAACCCCAAAGGGGAAGTGCTTAGAGTGTGGATGGCAGGGGCAGTTCAGATGGGAGTGTCCCTTTGTGAACTGCAGTTATGGGGAGGCATGGTCAGCAGGCACCTGAAAGAGGACCCAACTAGGATGTTACTACCAGTATGGGTCAATGGCACCAAAATAATGGGCCTGGTGGACTTCAGATGTAGCCAGACCATCATGTGGACTAGCTTGCTGGAGTCCCCTGACATGGTGGGGGCACCCTATTGACATCCACTGTACCCATAGCGATGTGCTGCCCTACCCCATCACAAAAGTACAAGTAGAAGTCGAGGGCCATATTGAGACTCACAGAGTCGGCTTAGTGACCACCCTGATCTACCCGGTAATATTGGGACAAGACTGGAGATGGTTTGGAGAACTTCAGCAGCTGTGGAAAAAAGAACCTCCCTCCCCAACACAGGCTGAACAAAGCCTAAAAATGAGAGGGCTTATGTGACAGGACAAGGCAGAGGTTCTGGTTGGGGACCCTGAGGCCAGTCAGGAATGCTGATCAGCCAGCCACCACACCCAGCCTTCACACAGCTTTAGGACCTAAAAAGGAACTTCCCACTGGGACTTCAGTCCTTTTCTGCATCAAGGATTGTGGGATTCGGTGGGTTACAGCAAGCAACTGCAGGTAGTTTTGGTTTTCCACTGGAAAAACAAAGAACCACTGCTCTAAAGAAACCCATTAGTAAAGGAAAATGATTATATTTTTATAGTAGCACTTACCCAGCACTGTCAGTTAGCTTCATGCAATTCTTCTCAAATTCAGTGTTGGTGCCAAGAAAATAGTATTCTGGAGAATTACAGAACCATAGAATCATAAGACATGATGGGACCTCGAGAGGTCATCTAGTCCAGTCCCCTGAACTCATGGCAGGACTAAGTAGTATTTAGACCATCCGTGACAGGTGTTTGTCAAACCTGCTCTTAAAAATCTCCAGTGATGGAGATTCTACATCCTCCCTAGGTTAACCTGTGTTTAATCACCCTAAAAGTTAGGAAGATTTTCCTAATGTCCAATGTAAACCACCTTTGCTGCAATTTAAGCCTATTGCTTCTTGTCCTATCATCAGAGGTTAAGGAGAACAATTTTTCTCCCTCCTCCTTGTAATAACCTTTTATGTACTTGAAAACTGTTGTTATGTTCTGTGAGAGACCCAGACCAATTGGGAACAGCAGAGTAGCAGAAGGGAGATATACTGGCCACTGGATAAGTAGTTTTCTGTTCCCTGAGTGACCAGAGCAGGGGCTGCTCCAGGTTAATAGACCACCTGACTCCAATTAACCTGCTAAGAGTCAGGTGAGGCAGTTAAGCACCTGACTCTAATTAAGGCCCTTCTGATGCTATAAAAGGGCTCACTCCAGTCAAGCCAGGGGGAGTCAGGGAGCCAGAGGAGAGGAAGTGTGTGAGAGGAACTGGGAGCAAGAGGTGTGCAAGAAGTTGAGAGTGAGTAGGTGTACTGCTGGAGGACTAGAAGTACAAGTGTTATCAGACATCAGGAGGAAGGTCTGGTGGTGAGGACAAAGAAGGTGTTGGGAGGAGACCATGGGGAAGTAGCCCAGGGAGTTGTAGGTGTCGTGCAACTGTACCAGGAGGCACTCTAAACAGCTGCAGTCCACAGGGTCCTGGGCTGGAACCCGGAGTAGAGGGCGGGCCCAGGTTCCCCCCATACCTCCCAACTCCTGATCAAACACAGGAGGAATTGACCTGGACTATGGCTTCTACCAAAGGGGAAGGTCTCTGGACTGTTTCCTGACCCACAGGGTGAATCTGTGAAGCGAGCAAATCCACCAATAAGTGCAAGACCCACAAAGGTAGAGGAGGAACTTTGTCACAGTTCCCTTTCAGTCTTCTCTTCTCCAGACTAAACAAACCCATTTTTTTCATTCTTCCCTCATAAGTCATGTTTTCTAGACCTTTAGTTCTTTTTGTTTCTCTTCTCTGGACGTTTTCAGACTTCTTCACATCTCTCCTGAAGTGTGGGACACAGAAATGGACATTATACTCCAGTTAAGGCCTAATCAGTGCAGAACAGAGCAGAAGAATTACTTCTCATGTCTTGCTTACAACACTCCTGCTAATACGTCCCAGAATGATTTCTTTTTTTTGCAACAGTGTTACACTGTTCACTAATATTTAGCTTGTGATCTACTATGACCCCAGATCCCTTTCTGCAGTACTCCTTCCTCGGCAGTCACTTCCCATTTTGTGTGTGTGCAACTAATTGTTCCTTCCTCAATGGAGTACTTTGCATTTGTCCTTATTGAAAATTTCATCCTATTTCCTTCAGACCATTTCTCCAGTTGATCCCGATCATTTTGAATTTTAATCCTATCCTCCACAGCACTTGCAACCCCTCCAATCTTGGTATCGTCCACAAACTTTATAAGTGTTCTCTTCATGCCATTATCTAAACCATTGATGAAGATATTGAACAGAACCAGACACAGAACTGATCCCTGCAGCTTATGCCCAAATAAATCTGTTAGTCTTTAAGGTGCCACCGGACTCCCTGTTGACTCTATTATCTAGTCTTTTTATAACTAACTTTTACAAAACACAGAGCTTATAGTAGATCACAAGCTAGTAGATCACCTCTCCTAACTTCCATAAACTACTTATCAACAAACATTTCTAACAATCTTAGTCATAATAAACTTCTATATCAAAGGCATCCAAATTCAAGGTTTCCATCCACTTATTTTCTTTCAGTATCAATTTGTTAACTCTCTTCTCACTTCCTCCCATTCTGATGAGCAGAAACTGAAACCTACAGCTAATTTTGACCTTGCTTCCAGAAGCCCTGCTTATTCCAATTAACCCTTAACTATGTAGTGTTCTATTTTACTAACTCATGGTGGCTGAATGCATTCAATATGGTTGCAGTCAGTTTGATCAAAATCTGGGGGGCACACACCCCTCAAATCCAGAGCAACAGCAAGACCCCAATTGATGTGCCTTTCCAGCTTGACTGTGAACCACTAATAACTATTCTCTGGGAATGGTTTTCCAACCCGTTATGCACTTACCTTATAGTAGCTCCATCTAGATTGGATTTCCTTAGTTTGTTTATGAGAAGGTTGTGTGAGATAGTATCAAAAGCCTTACTAAAATCAAGGTATACCATATCTACTGCTTCCCCCCATCCACAAGGCTTGTTACCCTGTCAAAGAATTATAATTCTGTAAGATTTTTCTGTTGTGTGGGTGACATAATACAGGAGGGTATGATTCAGAAGTGTATTTTGCATGCAGTTAAACAAATCAATTTATTTTACATAACGCTGCTTTACATGTCTTTTCTTCCAGAAAGATGAACTAGACACTTTGTACACATCTACCAGATATTTAGAGTGTTATTTTGCTGCAGACAAAGCAAAGGTAAGGTTTTTTTTCTAACTTTAAATTATTTTATTAGTGATCCTTCTGCGCTTAAGTCACCCATTAAAAGTATATATGCAACATTGATGTTCGATTTAAGCATTAGGATGTGAGTCATTCTGCTTAGTCATTGGCTAGAAATATAAATACACCCTTCAGTTGATGAAAGTTGGATATTTTAAAATCAGCCGGTCCAGATAACTTGCATTGAACAGTTTTAAGAGAGCTCGCTGAGTAACCTGCTGAACCACTCATGTTGATTTTCAATAAGTCTTAGAAAACTGGGGACGTTCCAGAAGACTGGAAGAAAGCTAATGTTGTGCCAATATATAAAAAGGGTAAATTTGATGACCCAGTTAATTATAGGCCTGTCAGACCCGCATCGATCCCAGGCAAGATAATGGACTTGCTGATACAGAAATTGATTAATAAAGAATTAGAGGAGGGTAATATAATTAATGACAATTAACATGGATTTATGGAAAATAGATCCTGTCATACTAACCTGATACGTTTTTTCATAAGATTACACGTTGGGTTTATAAAGTAATAGTGTTGATGTAACAGACTTCTTTAAGACATTTAGCTTGTACTGCAGAACATTTTGATTAAAAAAATGGAATGATATAAACTTAAGATGACATACATTACATGGATTAAAACTGGCTAACTGGTTACTTCTTTGAGTAGTGTCCCTGTGGGTGCTGCACGTCAGATTCTGGTGCATCCCTGCATCATAGATTGGAGATTTTCAATAGCAGTGCTCAGTCGGGGCGTACATGTGCAGTAGTCCTCACACGGTGCCGTTGGCATCTCATCTAGCGCTCATGTGACCCAACCCTTTCAGTTTCTTCTCAACCATCCTTGACTGCAGACAGAGCTCAGTGGCAGTGCTGCCTTTTCACTTACTCTAGAAATAAATAAGTTAGTTTTAATTTAGTAAGTCTCTTTACTTAGTTAGCTTAGTTAGATAGTTTTCTCCAAAAATGAAAACCCCCTAAACCCCATTTTTATTGTTCTTTCCCCCTTCCCCACTGGTGAACTTTTAACAGTCATGATGCCAGATTCTCCATGTTTTAAATGATGCGACTCTTGCTGTGAGGCTATGCCAGTCTCCGATGGCCACTCTATGTGTGTCTAATGTTTTGAGGAGACTCATATCCCTCAAAAATGTGCCCACTGCAGTAACCTGAAAGCCATGGCACAGCGTGACAGAGACCTTCACTTCAAAATGATCCTAATGGAAAAGTTCCTCAGCCTACTGATACAGGACCAAAACCAATGTCAGCAGATAGCTCCCTGGGCAAAACCTCTGCTAAAGAAAGTGCTCAGTCTTCCAAAGTTTCTAGGAAGCAAGCCGTGATCTCCCCTCACAGGGACACTTAGAAGAAGAGGTCCCCAGTGAGGTAGCTGTCCTCGTTGCCAAGCTCGACTAGATTTATTATATTTTAGGCTCTGGGCACCTCCGGCACCATCCCTCTGCGGACTTCTGCTGAGGCCAACCATACCAACAAATTGTTGAGGCACAGACAGTGCGTGACACTAGACAGGGATATCATACAGGAGGATCTGGATGACCTTGTAAACTGGAGTAATAGAAATAGGATGAAATTTAATAGTGAAAAGTGCAAGGTCATGCATTTAGGGATTAATAACAAAAAAATTTGTTATAAACTGGGGACTCATCAGTTGGAAGTAACAGAAGAGGAGAAGGACCTCAGAGTATTGGTTGATCACAGGATGACTATGAGCTGCCGATGTGATATGGCCATGAAAAAAGCTAATGTGGTCTTGGGATGCATCAGGTGAGGTATTTCCAGTAGAGATAAGGAGGTGTTAGTACCGTTATACAAGGCACTGGTGAGACCTCATCTGGAATACTGTGTGAAGTTCTGGTCTCCCATGTTTAAGAAGGATGAATTCAAACTGTAACACGTATAGAGAAGGGCTATCAGGATGATCCGAGGAATGGAAAACCTGTCTTATGAAAGGAGTCTCAAAAAGCTTGACTTGTTTAGCCTAACCAAAAGAAGGCTGAGGGGAGATATGATTGTTCTCTATAAATTTATCCGAGGGATAAATACCAGGGAGGGAGAGGAATTATTTAAGCTCAGTACCAATGTGGACACAAGAACAAATGAATATAAACTGGCCATCAGGAAGTTTAGACTTGAAATTAGATGAAGGTTACTAACCATCAGAGGAGCAAAGTTCTGGAACAGCCTTCCAAGGGAAGCAGTGGGGGCAAAAGACAGATCTGGCTTCAATACTAAGCTTGATTTGTTTATGGAGGGAATGGTATGATGGGATAGCCTAATTTTGGCAATTAATTGATCTTTGACTATTAGCAGTAAATATGCCCAATAGCCTATGATGGGATGTTAGATGGGGTGGGATCTGAGTTACTACAGACAATACTTTCCTGGGTGTCTGGCTGGTGAGTCTTGCCCACATGCTCAGGGTTTAGCTGAGTGCCATATTTGGGGTCAGGAAGGAATTTTCTTCCAGGCAGATTGGCAGAGGCCCTGGGGGAGTTTCGATTTCCTCTGCAGCGTGGGGTATGAGTAACTTGCTGGAGGATTCTCTGCACCTTGAAATCTTTAAACCATGATTTGAGGACTTCAATAGCTCAGACATAGATTAGGAGTTTATTACAGGAGTGGGTGGGTGAGATTCAGTGGCCTGCATTGTGCAGGAGATCAGACTAGACAATCATAATGGTCCCTTCTAACCTTAAAGTCTATGAATCAATGCCGCCGCCACCGGCACCGACGCAGCCATCAGTACTGACCAACAGACCAAGAACGGCACCGACTGTTCCGACCAAGATCATGCACAAAACGGTAACACTACCAATCAAATCTACAACAATGGCAACATCAGCACCAAAACAGGTGGCTTCACAACAGTTTCTGCAACACAGAGACACTGAAGTGAGGGGCAGTGACTCTGAGATGGTGAAGTTCAGAATCCTGACAAAAGGAAGAAAGGAGAGTAGCAGAATACGGACTCTGGACTTCAGAAAAGCAGACTTTGACTCCCTCAGGGAACTGATGGGCAGGGTCCTCTGGGAGAATAACATGAGGGGGAAAGGAGTCCAGGAGAGCTGGCAGTATTTTAAAGAATCCTTATTGTGGCTGCAGGAACAAACCATCCCAATGTGTAGAAAGAATAGTAAATATGTCAGGCGACCACCTTGTCTTAACAGTAAAATCCTTGCTGATCTTGAACACAAAAAAGAAGCTCACAAGAAGTGGAAGCTGGGACAAATGACCAGGGAGGAGTATAAAAATATTGCTCAGGCATGCAAGAGTGAAATCAGGAAGGCCAAATCACAATTGGAGTGCAGCTAGCAAGGGATGTTAAGAGTAAGGAGAAGGGTTTCTACAGGTATGTTAGCAACAAGAAGAAGGTCAGGAAGAGTGTGGTCCCCTTACTGAATGTGGGAGGCAAACTAGTGACAGAGGATGTGGAAAAAGCTAATGTAGACAATGTGTTTTTTGCCTCTGTCTTCACAAACAAGGTCAGCTCCCAGACTACTGCACTGGGCAGCACAGTATGGGGAGGTGACAGCCACCTGTGGAGAAAGAAGTGGTTCAGGATTATTTAGAAAATCTGGATGAGCACAAGTCCATGGGGCCCGATGTGCTGCATCCGAGGGTGCTAAAGGAGTTGGCGGATGTGATTGCAGAGACATTAGACATTGTCTTTGAAAACTCCTGGCGATCAGGGGAGGTCCCAGATGACTGGAAAAAGGCTAATTTAGTGCCCTCTTTAAAAAATGGAAGAAGGAGGATCCGGGGAACTACAGGCCAGTCCGCCTCACCTCAGTCCCTGGAAAAATCATGTTGCAGGTCCTCAAGGAATCAATTTTGAAGCACTTTGAGGAGAGGAAAGTGATCCGGAACAGTCAGCATGGATTCACCACGGGCAAGTCATGCCTGACCAACCTAATTGACTTCTATGATGAGATAACTGGCTCTGTGAATGAGCGGAAATCAGTGGACGTGTTATTCCTTGACTTTAGCAAAGCTTTTGATACAGTCTCCCACAAGTATTCTTGCCAGCAAGTTAAAGAAGTATGGGCTGGAGGAATGGACTATAAAATGGATAGAAAGCTGGCTAGATTATCAGGCTCAGCGGGTAGTGATCAATGGCTCCATGTCTAGTTGGCAGCTGTTATCAAGCAGAGTGCTCCAAGGGTTGGTCCTGGGGCAGGTTTTGTTCAATATCTTCATTAATGATCTGGAGGATGGTGTGGATTGCACTCTTGGGAAGTTTGCAGAGGACACTAAACTGGGAGGAGTGGTAGATATGCTGGAGGGTAGGAATAGGATACAGAGAGACCTAGACAAATTAGAGGATTGGGTCAAAAGAAATCTGATGAAGTTCAACAAGGACAAGTACAGAGTCCTGTACTTAGGACAGAAGAATCCCATGCACTGCTACAGACTAGGGACCGAGTGGCGATGCAGCAGTTCTGCAGAAAAAGAACTAGGGGTTAGAGTGGACGAGAAGCTGGATATGAGTCAACAGTGTGCCCTTGTTGCCAAGAAGGTTCATGGCATTTTGGGCTATATAAATAGGAGCATTGCCAGCAGATTGAGGGACGTGATCATTCCCCTCTATTCTTTATTGGTGAGGCCTCATCTGGAGTACTGTGTCCAGTTTTTGGCCCCACACTACAAGAAGGGTGTAGAAAAATTGGAAAGATTCCATTGTAGGGCAAGAAAAATGATTAGGGGGCTGGAGCACATGACTTATGAGAAGAGGCTGAGGGAACTGGGATTATTTAGTCTGCAGAAGAGAAGAATGAGGGGGGATTTGATAGCTGCTTTCAACTACCTGAAAGGGGGTTCCAAAGAGGATGGATCTAGACTGTTCTCAGTGGTACCAGATGACAGAACAAGAAGTAATGGTCTCAAGTTGCAGTGGGGGAGGTGTAGGTTGGATATTAGGAAAGTCTATTTCACTAGGAGGGTGGTGAAGCACTGGAATGG